AATCAATGAACCTCTTTTCCTCTTTAGGTAAACAATTGACATATCATAACAAAGAACAATTGGAAAATCAGTTCCCTCCCCTAATTCTCATATTCAATATGACATGTGTAAGGACCCAGAATCCCAGATTGATATCCAAACATTCCCAGAAAGATAGGAATGATAGATCCCAGAAATGTAATCTAGAAAACTCAGAATAATAGGAACAGCTGACTAAGCCAGGCCCTAAGGTTTGACTTTCAACAATATGGCCATCTTGTAATAGATTCATTATCATATTAAACAAAAGGGTTCACGAATTAGAACCTCTAGAAATGCTGCAGGCCTGGATTATTTTATATTTGTTCATTTTCCCTTCTAGATTGAGTTCTTCTAGAAACCCTTATAGTCATGCATATTATTTTCAAAAATAAGAAAGTCAGAGCTGCATGGACAGCACAGCTTAAATCATTGGATAGTGGCAGAGTTCTTTGACATTGAGATCATCCTCATTCAATAGTTCTTACATTGCAGTTTGAACGGTAAAACAAAGGAAATGAATGTATTTGTATTTAAATGCTGAAATCAATATCATTCAGAACATACTTATCTTCAACTTTTGAACGAATTCCGCTGCTGAAGGTTGGCACCATCCTCGGTTATCATCAACCCCAGTTAAAATCAGCAAACTTTAGCCAACAGTCAAAGACCCAATAGCGGAATTGCAATGGCAGATGCCAACTGCTTAGCTCTAAGCTTTGAATCTCCTCTCCCTTTACCCACATATGTTCCAAAAGAAATAGCATTCATTCATGAGCCATTACGTTCACTTTCAATCTCAAATTTTCAAGGGTTTTCCTATGAGGACCAATAAAAACATATTTTGAGAAAAGAAAAGGGAAAATTTCAACCTTTGCTTAATTGCTTCCTTTACAGTGTGATGAATTCTGTCATCCTTCATTAGTATTTTCATTGTACGAAAATGTCGAGAGATAATGCCGTGCGGTGAACGGAGATCCGCTAGTCTCAAAGATTATTCTTTTCTTTTTGATTTTACTACACAAAGTTCAAAGATTCGATTTTTCTTCAACTCCAGGGATCAGGGAATTCGGGTTACCCATAACTCGGGTTACCCATTTCCCCCCGGCAGAGGGATTCTCAATTGTTCATTTATAAACTCCGTACAATTCACCGGGAAAAATCTAGAACTCCGCAAACGATGACGTCATTAGCAGTGGTGCTTCCTGTTAAGCCTGTTCGGCTTAGGCCCAAGCCACCCAACAAAACTACTCAAGTCCGGCCCATCTTTTTTTATTGTTACGATAAGATTGATTGGTCTTCAAGCCTATTGGTACTCATAGTTTTTTTTTATTTTTACTTCTTAAATTTAAATTTTAAAATTTTACTTTTTAGTCTTACAATTTTAATTTTTAAATTTTTAAACATTTAAGTTTTTAAATATTAAACCTTAAACCTTAAATCTTAAAAATATAAATATTAACACATTAGATAATTAAATTTGAAAAAAAATTTAAATCCTAACACTATAAAATATATAACCCAAAAAATTTAAATTTTAACATCATAAAATATAGAATTCAAACAAATTTAAACCCTAATTCCTTAAATACTAAACTTTACACTCCAAACACTTAATTCAAAAAAAAAAAAAATCTAAACCCGAACCTCCTAAAAATTGAATCCTAAAAAATTTAAATCCTACAAAATTTAAATTCTAACACCTTAAACCTTAAACCCTAAAAATATAATCTAATCCCTAATATCAAAATACTAAACCCTAACTTCCTAAATTAAAGTAATCTTGTTTTATTTTATTTTGAGGACTTAAATGATGTCTTTTAAATATAGGGACTTAAAGTTATAATCCTATAAACTTAAGGGCTTTTGAATTAATTACGCCCTCTCTCAGAATCAAGAATCAAATTGCCACGTCTGCTCGACCTACTGTCGGCATGACAACAGGCTTCGCCGCAATTGCATTATATTTTTAAAGTTATTCAATAAAATATTAGCATCGATATACACACAAGTTAATTTGAAGGTAATTTAAACAATTAAAATTAATATAAAAAGAAAAAACAATGCATTCATCCCACAATAAGAGTTAATACCATTTGCTATTGAGAAACAATCAAATACATCGACTCTAATCCAGTTTATGTAATATTAATCTAATTAATTAAAGAAAAGATAGGTTTTGTAGTTTTTACTACAACCAATTTTTTGCATCCCTACTCTTGTTATGTGGTCCATCTATTCTACACTCTTTGCTTGGATCACTGAATATATGTCTTATTTGCGCATGTTCCGCTAGCCCTCATGTTGTCTCACTCAACAACTCTATGAGCATTCTATTTGTAAATCATACAGTTGAAGACAGCATGAATCTTGATTTTCAACGTTCTTTGTGTATTTTATACTACATATTAATTCCCTCTCTCTATTGCGCCCGGATATTCATTCACTTACATCACCATGTGCAGGGTTGTTTTCATGGCATACTTAAGCATTGGAGCCAAAACTTCAAGCTCAGTTTGGAGAACTATATATATTCAACGGAAAGGAAGGACAGAGAAAATGGGAGATTTCATTTCACACTAACAATTTCTGATCTCAATACTAAAAAGATAAATTTCAGTTTAAATTGACAAAATTTGAACAATTACAACTTTTTTTTTTATTAATCTCTCAAAATCTAATAATTATATTAAATCCTAATTAATTTGAAATCAAATCGTATCAGATCTTATTAGAAGGAAGCTCTCTCAATACTTGTTTCTCCATTTGCAAGACTCGATCTTAAGAGTACTTTATTTAAGGAGAATCAAATTTTTTCTACTTAAACTAATAAATTGTTGATAACAATTACAACCTTTGATTGTGGTAGTTTAGGCTTGAAACCTAAATTGTCTAAAGTGAAAAAGTGTTGAATGTTTTTGTTATTATTATATCCTGCAGAAAACTTGGACTAGTCAATGCAGGATTTCAATGAAGACCAAGAGTTTAAGAATTGAAGTGTGAAATACTTTAGAGCTAGTATCATTTCCTTGAAATAAAAAGCATATTGCATGCGCCTAGATTTTGAAGATGATGGTGGAAGTAAAGACTTTAATTCAATGGATGTCTTTTTCATATTTGGTTGTCAAACACCATGCAATTTCTAGGAAGAATTCACTTTTGCTAATAATTAGAAGACTGTAATTCCTTTTTGTAAATAATTGAGGTCAAAAGAAGGGAAAAGAGGGTTTTTCCTTTTAACATTTATTATCCTTGCTTTATAGATTTTCATTTGCTATTTTATGAGATGTGAAGAACGTCTTTAACAATGAAATAATCAAGAAAGCTTCCTAAAATTGTGGTAGTGATTGTTAAAGGAGTAAAGATAAAGTCAGAGAAAGACTTAAAACCAACTAATCTTTACCTCTTACTTAATCCTTATCACTTTGTTTCATATGACAACAAAAATTTCTCACCATATGAATTCATTTTTATCTTTATGTGGTTTTGAAACTTTTCCCAAAGGAAAATGATATATGTATAATCTACTCCACTAACCATGATGATTAGTATGAATTAGCATCAATTGTTCTTATAATAACTTGCATTAATTTGATGTAAATATTGTAAAAAATTTTATAAAAAAATATTGTTTATGAATCAAGTTGGTTAGACAATGAGACATAGTATATATATATATATAATCATTCAAAAAAGTAAGTGGATGAGAATTCCATGCTGAAAAAGGTGTTGGGATTGCCTGAATTTTTCCACAAGTTGCTGCTTCTTTTCCGAAAGCTAGGAAAGAAGGTGCAAACGTTGAGATCATGCTATAGAAGAAATTTATGAAAAAGTGACATATAGTTAACTATACACCTGTAGAACAGAAAGTGACTATATTTACCTGCATTGACAGCTTTAGTTTCTGCACGAAATTTGAAAGCCCAGTCCTTAAATCAGTGTTCAACAATGGCTTTTACTTCTTATTCCCTCTAACTCGTGCTACTCTTAATGCTGCCAGTTTCTGTTGTAGCTCAAACATATCAGAATGTAACATTGGGCTCCTCATAACTGCAGCACTCAATCAGAACTCTTCCTGCAAATCTCCATCTGGTTATTTCTTTTTGCATTTCGCTTCCAACAGATAGAAGCTGGAATGTACTTGCTAGCCACATGGTTTGACAAAATACCTGAAAAAACCATTATTTGGTCAGAAAATGGTGGAAATCTGGCGCAACCAGGATAAAAAATTCAACTCACAACAGATGGCCAGTTCAGGCTCACTACAAAAGCCTCTTGATCTGTTAATAAAGAATTGAATTCAATAATGTTCTACAGATTCATGGGATGATCTCTAGCTATTGTATGCTCATGAATGAGCATATATAAGCTTTGTAATTGAATGTCCTGCACATGCATTAACTAATGATGAAATGAACAAACATCATTTCTTGAAGTAAACTGCGTGATGCAGAATAATAAAATATGAAAGAGTTATTTACAATATCGAAGCATATTTTATGCAATTATTATCATTATTCAAGTGTTATTTTAGGTTATTATAAGCTTTCCTATTTCTTTATGTTTATCTTATTGAGAGTTTTAAGCCCTAGTTAGCAGAAATTCTATTTCCTAGTGAGTTAGGAAGTTTAAGATTGTAACTTCTTCCAACAATGAGTCATAAATTTTCATCATGAGTAATATTCTCTGGGTCATAAATTTTCATCATGAGCAATATTCTCTTGAGATTGTATGATATAATCTTGATTCTATGATGCAATCAGCCTTAGGTGTGATTCGTAAGGCTGGGTAGGCATATTTCCAACTCCTCCCAAAACAGCACAAACGTTTGGAATTCTATTGCTAGAGTTCATGTGTTTCAGCTATAAAGAATTACGAACAAAGTGGGGATAGGACTGAAAGATTGGATATAAGAAAGGCTTTTATCTTTGGATTAAAAAGACCAACTGCACCTTCCCAGCTGTACCAAACACCCACATTATGAGGAGACTCACAAATGCTAGAAGGATTGGTTGAAGTTTCTCTTCTTCCCTCCAATCCTAGTTCATAATTTCAATTTAAATCCACAAAAGCATCATGCTCTGTACTGTAGTCAATACCATTTGACAGTATTGCTGTGAGATCCCTATTTACTATGAGTTACGGACCAGAGAAAAAATAGGTCATTAATTTGTGTAACCAAAGTTTCTGGAAACTGAGAATGCCTTTGGCTATTTGCACTAGAACTTTAGAAATAAAAATTGCAGGCTGAAAATTAGCAAACTGGATCTGAACAACAATTATCTGCTACACAGTGGGATTCTTATGATGAAAAGTCCCCATCATACACCCACATGCAAAGGAGTGTGGCTTCCCTCCTGCTCCTGGGGGGTGTAACCCACCCCAGGTTCAGTTTTCAAATCCTAACCTCCCTTTTACTATACCCAAAAAAAAAAAAAAAAAAAAGTCACCATCAAATGTAAGCCAAGATATCTCCAATGCAATAAATATTGTCTTTGGGTTTTTTTAGGAGGAACTGCAGCATGGCAATGTTGAACAATTCAAAGTCCATGTTATGTAAAGACTAACTGCCAAAAGACTATGTGCCAGAGAAACCATTGAACTGTCCTTTGCCATTGAACTGTCATTTGGAAAGTGACAAAACAATAGGTTTTATACAAGGATTTTTGCAGCAATCACAGTACAAAAGGGGACTATTTTATTTAGATAATAGTAAGGATAATTTGTTATCTTGTTCAAGACCAAGAAAAAGAAGAGATAACTCCATATTTATAAGGGCAAGATATCTATTGGGAACAAACGCTCCTTATTAGTTTATTACTTGAAAATATCTGAATTTTCATTAAGTTTATCTATTGGAAACTCATCCAAAAATCATTTGGTTTGATTTGAATTTCAACTCATGTGTTTCCTTACCTTTCAAAGTTATATACTCTTCTTTGAGAAATTTATCAGAATTCCATAAATGGTTCGAACCGTATAAATATAATTCAAACCAAAATCATATTCTTCAAATTCTAATTTTATGTAAACGGTTCAAATCATATTTATATGGTTCAAACCACAATTACACTTTTTCAAATGCATTCGTTTCGAACAAACTTTTTGTGATTCAAATTCAAATCCTAGGATTTTTTTGAAAGTTCTTCAACAAACTGCAGCATGGCAATGTTGAGCAATTCAAAGTCCATGTTATGTAAAGACTAAATGCCAAAAAACTAGGCCAAAGCCCTTATTTGCACCTTCCATTTATTTTTTTTTCGCAGTCAACACCTTCTAAAATTTTTCTTCCCTATTCACACCCTCCACTTTTCAAAACTCGTGAAAAACCCAATATTTTAACGGACCGTTACAGAACCGTTAATAACCATTAAAAATTGTAATACGTGGCATCAAACAGTAACATAATCCAATGTGGACTTTTTTTTTATGATATGGCATAATAAAATCATAATTAATTTTAATTTTTTCATTTTCTTCTTTCTCGCATCATCTTTACCATCTTCCTCTTCATCTTCCTAGGTTCCTCATGGAACCAGGTACCCAGAACTTTTTTTTATAATGTGTTATAATTAAATCATCATTAATTTTAATTTTTTCATTTTCTTCTTTCCCGGCATCATCTTCACCATCCTCATCCTCATCCCCTAGGTTCCTCGCAAAACCCAAGTTCTGAGTTCTTCGTAGAACCTAATTTCACATGAATGCAAGCTAAGATTTTCATCCACACAATTATAAATAAATGAATACTGCACAAAAACATAATAAGCATCTCTTTTCCCACAAAAAACGAAAATTGGCAACCTATTCAGAAACAATCTCCCAGCAAAAAAACTCACTTTTTCAACAAAAAAAAATTATTCCAAATTATTTTGCATAAAATCGAAAGTTAAGATA